TACAAAAATCCAATAATCCAAAGCCATTGCAAATTGAATACACAACTAATAATTACATTGTTGCCCTTCTTTTATTCCAGAAATATAATTTAAAAATTAAACCGTACCTGCAGCTCTGAGGGAATTATGCCACTGGCAATGTCAATCAGTTTGGAATTTACAAAGGATTCCCTATGTCCCCAATCCATTTTTCTGTCCTTTTCTGAATTTCAGTATTCTTCATTGTGTTGAAGTCATTATGATTATTGCTTTTGAAAGAGAAACCTCTTAGCATTTTAGAATCACAAATATCAGAGTTCTAAAGATGCTGACAATGTACTGGCCCATATTCCTTCATTTTAACAATACAGAAATAGTGCCTCAGAGAAGTTATAAAAGGCAAGGTCCAAGACTATGGAAATAATGGCTTAATTTCCTCTCTGCAAATCCCATTAGGGCTTGGCTTTTGTATTCTTTATACACAACTGCCTTTATTAGAAGGCAATGAAGGCGTGAAATACAGTGGACATTTATTCTTAGGAGGATGAATTTTTGCCTGTCAATTTATGTTAAGTAAGATCTCACAAAAAGCACAAAGCTAGCCTTTCTTTCTTTCTTTTTTTCATGGATTCAGATAATGTCATTTAGCTATCAGGAGACAACACAATTGAATATAGAGACCTGGAATATTTTCCAGTGCAATCATGTTCAGATCTGAGCTGATCAAAGACCACAGAGGTGCAATGTATAATGTCACACGATTGAGGGGAGCAAAAACAGTACTTTCCAGCTCCTTGCTTAGGTGCTTTTCATCCTCTCGGGCTGATTCCTCTGTATCACAGCCAGGCAGGGCACCTGGTATGGTGACTCATAAAAATCTTAGGTATTATAAAGTATCAGTTCACGAATCTCTGTGTTTCTAAGGCTGTGCACCGCGGCTCTCCTCTTTTTTTCAGTCTCTGTCCACCTAAAGGAAGCTCTTTCTCTCCAAGTCCACCAGGATCACCGAATTCTTTCTTGGTACTGGGAATCGAACTCACGACCTCACGCTTACCAGGCAGGCGCTGTGCTACTGAACGTGATATCCCCGACCCCGCTGATTTCAAAAGGCAAGGCAAAAGGGCCACCAGAGTGGGTCCCTGGCAGTAAGAGTTAAATTCCGAGCAGCCGGACAATGCACAGGACATGGGTGTCCTGTCCACTGCTGCTGCCTCTGGCCACTTCTGCCTCTTTGGGCCAGGTGCCCTTGGGACCAGCTCAGCCACCTGAAAGCTAAAATTCTTTTTTTTTTCTTTTCTTTTTTATCGGTACCAGGGATCGAACTCATGACTGCCTGCTTGCAAAGCAGGCGCTTATGCTGCTGAGCTAAATCCCCAGCCCCAAAAGCTAAAATTCTTAAACCAAATCTGCCAATCTCACGGAGATGGTGTTCTCGTCCTCCCCCTCTGCCTCTTTTTAGGCCTCAACTTGCCCTCTGATAAAGGGGCCACATCCTTGGTAGCCCCTAAACAGAATGGGCTGTGATTTAAGCCGTTCTTTTGGGGTTTTTGTATATTTCTTTTATATATATAAATTTTAAATTTTAAAAACAAAAAAGGATAAAAATACAGAATTTTTAAAAAGAAATAGGAAATTAACACTAGTTAATAATTATGCATTGTTATCTTGAAAGTAGTTGTTCAGATTACAAGATTTAGACATCAAAAAATGATCAACACCAACACTCACAATGAAAATACAATCTGTTCTTCTTGATGAATAGAGATTAGCAGTACAGTTATCTATCTTGTATATATTTACAAACATACATATATATGTATAGATATAATCTTTTCCCTTCTTTCTTTTCTCCTTCCTTCATTCCAGTTGTTCTTTCCTTTGGAACACTTTCCCTTTCATTTTCACAGTATCTACTGTACATTTTAGATCCTATTTACTCCTTTTTTTAGATGAGGAAGACAATACAATATTTACATATGGGAATCTGAATTATTCCAATTATGCTTATGGTCTCTAGTTGCGTCCATTTACCTATAAAAGCCTCTAGTTTATCCTTGAGTAATACTCTACTATATGAAAAATACCACATCTTTTTGACCCACTCCGTGGCTGATGAGCATTTTGGGTTGTTTCCAACCTCTGGCTATTACCATGGGTGCACATATATTGCTGTGATATGATGTTTTCAATTCTTCTGGGGACACACCCGGAAGGGGAACAGCTGGGTCAAATGGAACCTCTAATCCTAGTTTTTTGAGGAACCTCTGACTGATTTCCACAGTGGCTGTACCCATCTACACTCCCACCAACAGTGGAGAAGGCTTCCTTTCCCTGTCAGCCCCACCAGCATTTGTTATTGGTTAATTTCTTGATGTTAGCCATTCTTTATGTGATGAGATGGAATCTCAGTGTTGTTCTAATTTGCATTCTCGGACAACCAATGATAATGAACATTTTTCTTACATTTATTTGCCACTTGATTTTCTTCATCTGAGAAGTTTGTGTTCATTTCAGATGTCCATTTTTGGATTGGCTCTTTAAATCTGGGGGCCTGATTTTTTTCAATTCTTTATGTGCTCTAGATAGAAGTCCTTTGTCTGAGGGACAGCGGGATAAAATCTTTTCCCCATTCTGTGGGTTTTCTTTTCACTCTGCTGGTGATTTCTTTTGATGAAGCTATTTTCATATAGGGAGAGGAGGAGGTGAGGTCAGCTCACCTCCTGATGCTCTTTGCTTAAGTCCTAACCCTTTACCCTGGGTCCCTGCCCACCCAAACCAGCCCAGCTGAGGGGTGGGGTCTTAGAGTGGGCTGAGAATGTCTGAGTGGAAAGAATTGCTTAATCCCCACGAACAACTGGAGGGGCCAGCTAGAGAGGGGCATAAAACAGATAACCCAGAGAACAAAGCAGAAAACGTGGGAGGGGGGCCTGGCGCAGGGGTCACATTAGATAAAACACTCTTTGGGCACAGGCTCCATTCTAAATTTTATCCTGCCAGGACACGTATTAGGGAAGTCATTTAAATGCTGGCTGAAATGCTACCGAGGAACACCTCACTTTGCATTACATTGCTTTGGGACAATTCTGTCATGCAGGTTTGCCCACCCAGAGACAGGGCTCACGGCAGAACTATAAAAATCCCTCTGTGTACCTTCTTGGAAAATGGATCCACATTACGACCCTGTACAGCAGTGAGGCCCACACATAACCATGAAGCCACCATCTGGATCTGGATCGGTTGGCTCTACTTCTTGGTTGTCAGTAAATTCAAGCAGCCATCACCTAACTCATGCTGTTGCTCAGGCTCCAGGCCTGCATCCTTCTAAGGGGGAACCCTACATGCTTGGTCAGCATCAATCTGCATCTGTATTACAACTCTCAGGCAGGTGACAGTATTGGTTTTGAAGCAAGGGCAGCAAAAGGATCATGTGAACTAGTGGTAGGGCTGCCCCTTCCAAATCCACATCCAAGGACACTGCCAGCACACAGAAAAATACTGAATTTATGTTTTTACTACCTCTGCTCACGTTAACCAAAATGCACTCCCAGTGGTGACGCCCCATTGCCCTATTCAGGGTCTCTAGATACCGCATAATTGTTATCAAGACAATGGACAATCTTAAAAAAGTAAAAATAACCAACAAAATGTCAGCTCCCATAAATAACAAAGGTCTGTGTTCCTGCAGGGGTCACTGACAAAAGTCCTTCTCTTGGTCTGGAAACATCTCAACAATGCTGGTTCACTGAGGACTTCCAAAAGGTTCAGGAAAGCTTGAGTTGAGAGGAACTTTCTTAGGAGTGGTCACCATCAGCAAAACAGAAGATTCACCCCCCAAATCCAAAACACTGTTGGAGGCTGCATTCAGACACATGATACAGATCTGGGCTGTCTTAGAGGGCACAGTGGATACCTAGATATCCACGAGGATGAGATGAGTTCCCATCTGGCTTCATTACATAGGTCATGCTAAGTGACTCCTAGTAACCACAAAATGTTAATAAATGATTTCTCTCCTCAGTCTCAAACTGGACTATATTTTTTGATGTTCTCTTTTTTTAAAGTCAGGTTTACTAAGTGGGTAATTCAAGTAAATTTCACCCTTCAGTGCACAAGCTACGGATTGGAAAAATTCAGAATCACCACATAAAAGTTTCACTATCCCCCAAATTTCCGGGTGTCCTTTTAAAGTCAACTTCTATTTCTGGCCCTGAACACTACTGATTTGATAAAGCAGACTGTATTTTAATAAAATTTCTTTAATTTCTACATTTAGTTTAGTCTTCCCCTTCAATATTTACCATGGTTTTGATTTTCACATACACCAGTGCCAGATTGGAACACACTGAAACTAGGATATATTTGATAGTCAATGGCATTTTACATAATGTTTGGCAACAATTTTTCTTCTTAGATATACATGAAATGACAATGTGCCTTAAAATGTATGTAGCTTTAAAAAAAATCAGTGCAATCTTAAATTTTCTATTTCATAACACTCATTGGATACTTATCATGTGCAAGGCATTCTTCTAGGCAATGGCAGCACCAAAATGGATTACAGGATACCCAAGAACTATCACGGCGGGAAGGGTAGATAAATAATCATAATATCATGTGATAACATCCATTCATTGAATAGAACTAAATGAAATTATCTCTCCCTCAGCCACAATTCTTCTTCCGGAAAAAATGTCACCCAAATCATAAGCTTCCATGGACACAGGACACAGAGATGAGTTTCACTCTCTCACTCCCAGAGTGAGTTACTGCCACACCATCTGACACACGGCCTTGGAACAATCCAATTATTTTTTTCCACACTCTGCTGCCTATAGAGAAGTCTCATTTTAGTGGTCAACAGCTGCAAGGCTTTTACGATCATATCAAAAGAGAAGTCACTGGAAATAACTGCTCAATCTGTGAAAGGCAGATGTCCCAGATCTTTTCCAGACGTGCCTCAAGGTCCCACATTCTTCCCTGGATCACTTACAAAGAGCATAGAGAAGATTCAGGGCCCTTACCTGGTTCTTCAAAGTGCTCTTCATTGGACAGAGTTCTAGACAGGATAAGAATTAATGCTTCTTTAAATTGGTCAAAATGTACCTGAAAAAATATGAAGTAAATAAATTTAAAGTCAGTTCCACAATCCAAAGAATGTAAAAATCATTTACAAGGTCTGAGAACCATGTGGACCCGTTCTGATACCACAGAAGTGAATCATCGCACATTTTGCTTTGTTTCCTTTTTCATTTCTCTAAAGCACGGCAGACAAAGTGGGTTGCTAATTTTTACATCCTGTGCCATATACACATTGCTGTTTTATCAATATCAATATTCACTCAACACCCAAGGAGAAAGCTATTTGGCAAAAACACTCTTTACAAACATAGGAAAACATTGTTTTGAACTCCCAGCTCCTTTTATGTTTCTGAAGACGGTCAGAAGGCAAAGATGTTAAGTCAGATATTAGGAAAAATTTCCCAACTGAAATGATTGATGGTCACAGTGCTCCCCACACTTTCCTCTCTTAGGGTCCTCAAGAAAGGAGGACACACTCCTGTGAGGACTCAGATATGGTGTTGCCTGGGGCAGCTATATAATATTCATCTCCCAAGGCACTGTGAGTCTATCAACCAGCAAAAATCAATAGCAAACACAAAAGAGAAAAGAATCCTGAGAAATATTTTCATGAGTTCATAAAAATAAAAGTGCCTTGACTGAAGTAGGAAAGAACCCTAGTTTTTACCTAAGGAAATACTCAATTGAAACTGAGAGATTACTTCATGTAAAAAGGAAAAATAGTTTTCTCCAGAGCCAAGTATACCCTTCTGTAACTGTAATTTATGTGATCTCACCCCAGGACAGGAGAGACAGTATTTCTTCTTACTGAAATTCTAGTTTGATGATGTGCTTCTCATTTATACAGAATCCTACCGGTAAATATAAAACAAAATGAGTAACTGGGTAATATTTGCTGCTGTGAGTGTCTCTGGATGTCATTACAAAACAGGGCCAAGCTTTAAATACCAGTGACAGATTTAAAAACTTCTAAATTAAATTTGGGGCCCAGGGTATAGCTCAGTGGCACAGTGCCTACCTGCAAGTGTGAAGTCATGAGTTTGATTACTGGTACAAAAAAAAAAAAAATAGAGGGCCAGGGATATATAGCTCAGCAACATAAGCACCTGCCTGGCAAATGCAGGGTTCTGAGTTCAATTCTCAGTACCAAACATAGTAATAATAAATTAAATTAAGAAAGCAATACCTCATTAGTCTATCCTATTCAAACAATGGAGACAAAAACCAGATAATGTCTTATGTGTGCAGATCAAAGCAGAGCTATCCACTTTGATTTATAGATCACAAAATTGTATTTGCCTACAATTTATAATATTCTCCTCAAATAATATGTGCCTCCTCTATCATATTACTTTCATTAATTGAAATTACTTCTCCAAATTATAATTTCTTAAAACTGTGTAGAGTTTGCTTATTATTAATTTAAGGTGTGCAACTTGATGGTCTGATTTACGTATGCACTGTGACACAATCATCACCATAAGCCAATTAATATATCCACCACTTCGCATGGCTACCTTTTCTTTTTGTAAAGCACGGGCCCGTTAAGAACACTTAGGACCCACCCTGTTGGCAAATTTCAGATTAAACTGCATGGATTTTAAATAACATAATCGAAGGAGCCAGAGCAGGCATCTGTCAAGGGAGGCAGAACTACAGAGAAGGGCAGTACAGTGTGCACAATGGCGAACCAACTGCAGAGATGCAACCACGCTAATTAGGTTCCCTGGCTGACAAGTCACTCAAGTCACATGAGCCTGCAAGAGGAAAGGGTGTCTGCCCCCTGAGTTGGAGACAGGCTTACAGTGTGGGGCACCTCAGCTTCTGTTCACAACAGCAAGGCCATCGTCCCCCCAAAAACCAGTTCACAAGCATTTCCCAGGGCCTCTCCCACCTCAGGCTCGTGATAGGCATCTCCTAATTCCTACCAGTCTTTCCTCTTTTCTGAGCAGGCAGCAGCAGGGGTCAGGAGGATGCAGGAAAGATACGAAGCCAAGTGGGTCCAGGCTCTAATTCCAGCTCTGTCTCTCACTTCATCTGTGACTCAGCTAAACTGCCAAACTTATCTGAGCTTGAGTTTGCGACCTAGCAAGTGATACGTATGGTTCCTTTCACAAATATTTCCTGAGCAGCTGCTATGTGTCAGATACCATCTCAGGTCCCTGTGGCTCAGCAGAGAATGAAAATGACAAAATTCTCCTGCTGTCACAGAGCTCACGGTCTCAGGAAACATCCCAGGGAGTCAGGCAGGTGTTGTGCTAGGAGGACTGTACGCATTCTCTCCCAGACAGCAGGAGCGTTAGGGAGGTGCAGTGCAGATGGGATTCTGCGGGGAAGAGGGGACAGAAAGGGGACGTGAAAAAGGGTTAGGATGCCACAAGTACCGTGCACCGACTCCTCACGAGGATATAATCATCTCGCATCCCAAACCCGTACCAATGAATAGATGGGCTCAAAGTGCAGTCAGACTGGGCAATGCCAAGTGCTGGAGGGACTGTGGGCATCACCGACTCCTGCACCCTCATGACAGGAGGGTGAATGATAAAACAAAATGCCTAGGACATCCTAGGACTTTCTAGGTGCCTCATAAGTGGTAGTTACTTCTAATAGGTACAGAGATGCAGCCATTTTTCTACTGCATGACAGCAAAACAGGGCCATATTGCTGGACAAGGCCATTTGTGTCTCAGACAGCCAAGTGGTGGGTGGAGCTGGCGGCAGGGAGGGCCAGATGTCTGTCTCCTCCTGTGGAGAGGCCCAGAGTCAGAGTCTCAGCCTATCTGCCAGCTGCAGGAAGTCCAGCTGGGGATTTTCATGGAGGCCCTAGAAGAAGCCCCAGCCTGCACTGGCTGCAGTCCCAAGCTCAACAGGACAATTTCTCTCCGAGATTCTCATCCTTTCTACTCTGCAGGTCTTCCTTGGGCCTGCTGTAGATCTAAGTGCTGACAGAGGCAATCAGAAGTGCCCACCAGAACTGGGTACTGACAGTTCAGTTCAGCAAGTAGCAGCTGTGAAGGTCACCCAACAGTCTGCAGGCATGAATTTTATTCCCCCTGACAAATGACAAAGACACCAAGAATCTAGAATGACTTCTCATCCATTCCCAAGGCTTTAGACAAAGTCTCCTTCACATGCACACAAATGCCTGGGGCAGTGTAAGCTTTAGGTGCAGGGAAGTTGCTTATCTCAGAGCCTCAACTGTCTGGGTCTAGCGGACAAAGAGGAAACCCGTAACAGGGTGCAAAGTTGTGTCAGTGTCACAGAGCTCAGCCACAGGAAAGGCTACAGGACCAGCTCAGGAAGTCTTCATTCCTATTCGACCTGATTTACCAGAAACTTCACTAAGCCAACTGCAGATTAGAGGCAGGGGTTCTCCACAATAAGGATAAGAAATAACTACTGATGATTTGGATTGAGGAAGGACATGAACCATCTCTCTTCAAACAAAAATAACACATATTTATGCTTTAAAAAACTATGTTAAGGCTGGGGGTTTAGCTCAGCGGCATACGCGCCTGCCTGGCAAGCATGAGGTTGTGAGTTCAATCACCAGTACCAAAAAACCAAAAACAAAAACAAAAACCCAAACTATGTTAAAAAAAAATCTACATAATCTGTTGAAAAAAAGATGACATATCTGCTCCAAAACTTAACAAACTGGGGTCATCTAGGGTCAGGGCACAGATTTATATACTCCTAACTGAATCCTGAAGGGACTATTTATACTATGGAGGAAAAAGTTGACAGAGCAAGCAGATTTTAAATGAACAAGGACATTTAATTATGTTTATTGTTATTTGATAGAGTAACACTAACAAAGACTTTTTTTAAACCCTCAGTGGTCAATCTTTTTGGGGGGCAATCTGTCACTACACAGGCTAACAGTTCCAGTTATTAGACTATTTATTTCTTTATTAATGTGGGCCCTGGACAATAGTCGGATAAATTAAATATTACTGAAAATCTTTTCTTCCCCAGATAGTTTCTTGTTTGAATTTAACAACATGCAAGACAGTCAAAGCACAGACTCTACCTCAAAACAGAGGAGAGAACACAGAAGGCATGTACCTTGCTCAAGGCCATACATTTCTTGGAAGTGACAGGGTCCCCTGGAGAACCAGGCCTTTTTGACAGGGGTCTTCAAGGCCCAGCAACCCTGCCTGACCCAGACACTGCTGGCTGTTTGGACCTCAGGGAATCCATGGCCACAGGGCAAATCCCAGAGTTTCCAGGCAGCCACCAGGTGCAAGGCACATGGCAGGTGGGAAGTTGGCAGCAGGGGACACAATCAAGACCTCTGCCCTTGAGGAGATGCCAGCTGCCCTCCAGGGTTTAAACAGTAGCAGAAGGAGAGAGGACAGTGTATGAGAAACCACTAGATAGAATCTGAAAAGCGCCTCGAAAGAGACCCAAGCTGGTGAAGTCTGACACCGATCTTTATTTCCTCCTTGGAAGAGCAGGCAGACACTGGGCCCTGGGGTTTAAATAGCCGTAAATGCCACATCTTTGATCCAGGGAGATAGCGCTCTCAGGGAGGCAGGTGACTGTTATTTTCCACCAATGCTCATGAATACTGATGGGGCACAAAAGCCCCTTAGGACATAACCCAGAATCAAAATGCCATGAATGCCCTCTACTGAGAGGATTCACACAGGCTTGGACCAGGTTCAGTCACTGGAATTTGGAAGCGCCATTTTCCTCCTCTAAATGAGCTTTGTAATACTGTATGATGTTAAAATTGGGAAATCTTTACAAATATACAAGATGATTCAACCTCAAAAGGTACCAAGATTCTGGGTTGTGCATCCGCCATGGTACCTGCTCATCTGAATAATAATTGCTGACATTCATTTTACAAGCATCCCAGTATCCTGTATGCCTCAAAGGGAGGAATGGGAAAATCACACGACTGACTAAAAACACACATGACATTTACACTAAATTATAGGGAGACTAATCAAGTCTGATAGTTTTTGTCATGTGTCACCACTGCTTAATAGAATTTAGCTCATCTCTTTTTCCTCA